GAGGGCCCTCCTTTCTATCCAATCCATCTCTTCTTTCCCCACTGCTATTCTATTCTCTTGTTTATAATATAATATTACCTCCGATCCTGTTTGTACAAACGAGTTCTTATAAATAGGACCAGAAGTAATATATGTATATATTTAATTAATTTTAATAAGTATCTTCCTCCTATTAAAAATAATTATATTCTGAATATTATTAACTACTAAATGTAAACACCTGTTCCGATCAGAATTCAATTTTATTTCATCACGTTAAGAAACTGGCTCTTTCGTTGAACTCAACCTCATGGTTTTGTTGTTGTTGTATAAACAACCACCAACAAAGAGATGCCATCAACCAGGCAATCCTTCCACTGCACGAAGGACTTCCATGCTACTGCAGCATCCTGTTGTGGCTGGGCTCTTCATCTTAGAAATCAATCGAGTTATATATTTATTGATGTCTATCATCATATCATACTTCTTTTTTTAACAAGAAATAAACTCCTAAAAGAGAATAAAACATGCATACATACATAATACAGACAGACTCACTCTCTATATATAGTCGATCAGACTCTTTTATTTTATTCCATCCCTTCCAAACATATGACAGACAACATGGCCTCGTAAGATCCATCTAATTTACGTTTTCCTATTTTTCCAATTCCTCACATGTTTCATTCCAGCTTAATTACCATATCACCACTCTTGATATACGATCGATCTTATTCCTTTCTTATTGTAAATTTTTGGAAATGGAAAAGACAAAGACAAAGAGTGTGAAAAACTCATAGAGAGAGGAAAGGCCCCACACAGCACCGTTTCTCACTCACACTGGAACAGTGTGCATAGCATAATATAAATAGATATATATATGACTTTGCGTCTATTTTACATCTCTCTCTCTCTCTCTCTCTCTCTCTCTCTGCGCTTTTGATTCATTGAGAAGAGAAGAGGTGTAAAGGCAGACATAGAAATGCAGAAAGGAACATGTGATGAGCCCAAATCTCATATATTTCTCACCTAATTATGTCTCTCCCCATTTTCATCTCTTATCCCTCTTCATCATTACATCTCCATTTATTTATTTGTTTAATTCTACTACTCCTCTTCATAATACTTTCAAAAAGTCCCTCCAAAAGTCCTGCTATATCCCATTAGATCTTGCTTTTATAAGTTGCTATACCCATCCCTCCAACACAACAATTCATCAACTAAGAAATGTATTAAATATATATATATATATATATATATATATATCATCAGGCTAAGCTTTAATTTTCATTATCATTAATGTAATTTTGAGACTATCCCATTGAAAGCAAAAGACATGCAATTATATAACTTTCATCCTTTACATTGAATATATATATATATTATAATCCTTCCTATCATAATTATAAGAATTTGATAACTAATTTGTAAAAATTTAAAAAATTAGTTAAATTAATTATTTATAAAAAAAATATGTATTTATATTTCTCCAAAACATTTCCTTTAGTCATTTGCAATGAAAATTATTTGTCTGATTCTATTTATAAATTATAACTCAAAGGGTGAAGATTTTCTAGTCTTATTTACAAGTTACATTATTAAATTTTTTGACACAAATATATCATTTTGTCCTTTATTTATTATTATTTAGATTATTATTTTCTTGCGAAGCCTATTATATAAAGTACGAGTAAAGTTAAAAATTATTAAATTTTAAGACAGAATAAATCAGTTTTAAGCTTTTTTTTCTTTGATTTTAATTGAATATGTTAAACATTAATTATAGTTTTTTAATTTTGTTTCACGTTATATTCTGCTTATTTTAAATTATTCTAATTCAAAATAAAATAAACTATTGTAGAATATGTATCCCACATGGCATGCGTGATGCTTGGCATAATAGAAATGAATAGGCAGATACTTAATTATTTCGGAGATATTCTGCTTTTGATAAGCAATGCATGGGATTATAGTATTATTTATTTACTATTAAAAAAAATCAGATAATTATTATATAATTACGTACTGTCTCAAAAAGTAGAGCCTTTAGTATGAACATTGTATGCGTAAGTATTTCGGTAACCAGCTGCCCATCTAATCATGTCTTTCATCCAAACCTCACCGCTTTTCCCTTTTCTTTTGTCCTTTATTAACATTAATAATCATAATCTAAAATATTTTCATTTTCTGATAATTGGTTGTCCATGAAAGAAATAATTATATATTTCACAAACATAAAAAAAAAATTCATACATATCTTCTTTTCTTTATATAGTAACCACAAGTTCACAACTAGATGTTTTCGACGGGGTGCATATGTAGAATTCATGTTGCAAAAATCATGTTCATATTTTAATTATTAATATTAATAAAGTTATAATTATCACGCATGTAACGAATTTAATTGAGAAAAACCTACCATTTGTCTTTGGTATTTTACGAGAGATTATAGTTTTTATTGTGGGCAAAAACACTTCTTGTGCTTTAGGGGGAAAAAAGGAAGAATTACTATAAATTTTTAAGGAAAAAAATAATTATAAAAAAATTTATCATTTTTATACCGAAATTTATTATAACATATTGCTTATTTGTGAGGAGATTTTTCGTTATTACATCCCAATTTTGAGATCTTATAGTAATTCTCGAAAGATAAAAAAGGAAAGCGGTAATGTTGAGGCAATTCTTGGGGCCATAATCACACAAGAAACTGGAACCATTTGGGGGTAAATGATTCAGAGAATTTAGATATGTCATGTACAAGAAAGAATGAGAAACAGAAATGTTTGATGTGAAGAAAGAATATGTAAGAAATGAAAATAATAATAATTAAAAAAAAAAGAAAAGCTAAGGAGAGAAAAAAAAGGTGAAAGAGTGAGAAAATTGAGTCGTCAGTGAGAAGAGAAGAGAAAGGGAAATGAATGAGAGCTTTATTGTGGGGTTGGTGGGTGGTTCTGCTGAGTCTCTGAGCAGGAGAGAGTGCCTGCAAATGATGAATAAGTTTGTTGAGGTCAAAAGTAAGATTGCTCAAATTCTGATCCGTCTCTAAAGATTCCCAAACATGTTTATTTGTGCTCTCTCCTCTTTCACTTTTGCTTGTTTGTTTGTTTTGTGTGAACTGTGAAGGATAAGAATGGAATCATATTCATAGATAGGTGGACAAGTGTGTCTGAACCAGTCCTTTCAGATTCATTCTTCAATAACTTCTGGTAAAGAGGAAACACTCCAACGAAAAATCATTCAGTTCTGTTTTACAACACAAGACAGATCCTATGGCTCTATTTATATAGGCAGGCTTGCTTCTAACTATGTGTGTGTGTGTGATATGATTAATGCATGGACTCTCCCTTTGACAATCACACATAATCCAAACAACAAAACCGCATTATTCATTGTTCTCTTTTTGAATTTTTGACGACCCTTGTTTCATATCAAAGCCCTATAATTAATCATGTTGATTGAAATATTAATTGACTCATCTAATTATTGGCTCTCCTCTGCATTATTGGTTCTCAGTTTCCTCAATCCCCACTTTCTAACCTGCAAGACAATTGGCTTTATGCATTTATTGACCAATTTTGAGTATATATAACAGCTTCAGTTTAATAAATTCAGTTTCTATAATATCAAATTAATTACTTGTTTAGTGCTTTTAACTCCAAAGAGTTGAATTTATGCAGGATTTATTTATATTTTTATATTCTCATCATGCCCTTTTCGATTATCTTTTTTCCCTCTTTCATTTCTTGTTTTAGGCCAATTTTTTCCTCTTTTTCTTCAATATAATTCATCGAATAATAATTGTGCAGACTAATCAAACTTGAAAATAGTACCAACACGTTAGCGTGATCAGTATACTAAAAGTAATTACGGGTTTTCTAATAATCTTTAACGAAATGCCGTTCTTGCGTCTCTTCTGCGTTGCGCTTTTGCCTGTACTGTACATGTCGGAATGTGGGAAGTGGTTGATCCATATGTTATCTGTTTGGTCTGTGACCTTGCTTGTATTAGTTGTCTTGTGAAATGGAAAACCTCGTACTATTCGAGTAAGGAAAAAAAAAAAAATGGGGCGACTTAAATTTTCAGCTCACAGGCATCGCAGAAGCAGAAGTTAAATATAAGGTTATAAACAGCCCAAACCCAACAATAAAGCTACAACATGAACGAAGACGATATAACTACTAGAAAAAACAAAAAAGTTTAAACTCATAGTAAGAGCTGTTAATGAAGAACCCTCCAATCGAAGGGACGGCTTAGAAGACCATGGAGTCTACAAACATGTCAATTTGCCGTCCCTCCAATTTTTCATTGCAAATTTACCGTTACCACAGAAAAGAAATACGAAAGCCATTGGATATAAACATATGAAGGAGGGGAGGGGGTTGAAAGAATTAACATTAATACACATACACATAAATTTCCCAGCAAGAACAACAAATATATATGTATAAATTGATCTGCGTTATCTTAACATGAAGCAACCTTTCCCACTTTTCTTTATTTCTTAAGGGTGACCGGGGAGCCTGTGGCAATTTCTCCTAAACCGGGGAAAGCAGGATATCCCCACGCGAATTCGGGACATGAAGCCAACATGTGTTCGTTATTAGCACTTCAATTCTTCAAATAATGCACATAGCTAAAATAGCATATATCGTTGACGCTTTTGTACTTCATGCAACGGATGGGCGCTATGCATGGCCCTTACACTATAGCCACCAAGCAAGGTCTGCTAATTACACAAGGCCATCAAACAAAGCAGAGGGAATAATTCTAACCAATGATTGGGTTCATCTAATAACATAGCAGGTGGGTGTCCTGCATCATCTTCCACTGATTGGAAAATAACTGTCTTGGAAGCAAATACTCAATAGCAAACAGGAGGTAACAAACTCACACGAGTCTTCTACAAGGGACGTAAAACGGGAATGTGCAATAAATAAGCTACGGAAAAAAAGGTTCAGAAACAAATTTCTATGACACGGTTCATGCAGCTCTTCCCACCAAGCTCATGGTACAACCAAACATGCAGCTGTGTCCTAAGTATCTCGGACAATTTCAAACTCTTATTAGCAATGAAGAAGAAATAACAGGAAACAAATCAGCAGTAATGAATAAATTCCCTCGTGGTTTGGTCTCAGTTCCACTACAATCACCCCAAAATAGTAGGAAATCTATTGGTCTAAACAAGATGAATAACTAATTCATTATTGGAGAGGATGCAAGTAGCAAGTAGCTATGCTAAATTCATATTCTACTTCTTGAACTAGTAGCATGAAAGCAAACAAAATTTAATAGACGGCATACTTCTCACTAGCCCCGGGCCAGAAGTTTCTATAGATTGCTCTGGCAATTGGAAGAATGGCAACAAGCGCAATCTGAAGCTGGTCTGAGCTACTTGTTCTCACACTGATCTGTCCACTGAGCTTGTTGTTCAATCCCGCACGGACACCCATCTTGTAACTTCGTCCAAGAGAAAATTGGGACTGAAAATTTGCCCCTAAAGCCAAGTCTCCCCTCCACTTCACCAGAGAAAGACCGAGTGAAGACTGATCCTGCCCAATTGGAAAATCTGCCTCTCTGAGACGCACTTCAACATTGGCACCATAAGCAGAATCTCCCTGAGACCGGACAGTCCCAGTGCTACCTACTAACACCAAGCGTTTCCCCAGAGCTATCTGGTCCTCAACTTTCAGCCCAGTGGACACATTTTCACCCAAAAATGTCACAGATACCCCAGCAGCAGTTTTATTTCTTTTGAAGTTTTTGAATTTTGTCTCCCCCCTGACTATGTATGCCAGCTGCTTTCCAATGTTTTGTATGTCAAATCCTGCCATGGTGGATCCATTCTCTCCATGCTTTGCAGCAACTGAGGAATCCAAATGGATGGTGAAGTCTTTCTTATCCTTAGTGATCTGAACAGTGACTGCACCTGGGAATCGGTCGATAATGGCTAGACTCTGTTCAATGTTTACACCATCATACCCACAATCATGGTCCCAACCATGGGTGTCTAACACTGGCCTTGTCAGGAGCTGGGAAGTTGGCTCCAGGAAACGGTATCTGTAAGCTGGATTGCTACTATCAAAAGACGGGGGGAGGACCATATCAGGCAAGGGAACTGGCACAGTGGCCGGACCTCCGCTTTCCTGATCCTCTTCCTCCAAGTAATTGTAATCATTTGAAGTAGGTTTACCTTTTTTCTTCATCTCCCTCATCCGTCTCAACTCTTCTTTCCACTGCTTCTTCTGGAGAAGTTTCACCCGATATTCATACTCCTCATAATATGCTTTGTGCTGCTCTCTGCTAAGCTTTGCAATCTGAGATTTCTTAAGAGGCTTAAACGGAGGGAGCTGGTCAAATTCATCTTCATCTTCATCTATATCAGAATCGGACAAGTCAGCCAACTCAATGTCCGAATCACCATTGTCAACACCTTGATCAGATGGGAGTTTTGGGTGGGTACGTGACTGCAGCAGCCATGACAACAGGTATGGAAGTGGAGGAGAGCGAACACGAAAACCAAAAAGTTTTCTGTGGTCAAATTTATCTTGAGTTTTAGATAGGTTACTAGCTTCAGAAAGAATCTTCATGGAGTAGCATAAGAGCAACAATTGTGGTCTCCAACTTTGACCATTAGGAAGCACCTTTTCACCATCTCTATTTTTTCGACAAGAAGGATGATTTTCAACCAGAGAAACTGGATTCATTAAACTGGGATTCATGAGTCGCAGGTCACCAACGGCTTGTCCTATACTTTGTTGAACTATATGAGATCGTTGAGCAACAAATACATCATAACCAAGTGGAGAACCCGATGGCCCATCAGGAGGAGCAGAAGCAGCATGAGTCAGAGTGACTATAGCACTTTGCCAGATTGAAGCACCAAGGGCATTAGTGATCGATCTTAGTAATGGTAAGTCATTGAGATTCCTTGTCTGTGTGTCCAAACGATCCACATAGAGTACAATATCAAGGGGGGATTTTTTTGTGAACTTCTTCACCATAGACAAGACTTTTCTATTGATGCTTTGTTCCATGGCAGAAGATTTCAAGCCTGGGGTGTCGAAAATTCTTATCTTCACTCCTTCTACCATCCCAACAATTTCCGTCACAGCACTTGTGGCAGGTCCATATGCATTAATGCTGGTCTTTGTTTCACCAAAAATGGAATTTATGGTAGCACTCTTACCCACACCTGTTTTGCCGATAACTAGTATGTTCAGGGAGAATTCCAAATCATCTTTTCCTTCAGATTCAAGCTGGGAAGCACTCCTCTTTGCATCATCCAAGCTAAATAGTTGCCCGCCTTGCCTACCTGCAACAAGTGTCAATCGGGATAGAACCTGAGCTGCTATAGATTCTTCTGTAGTAAAACCCAATCTCTGAAGCAGTCTTAAGAATTTAATCCTGATTTGCTGCACTTTCTGCACTTTCTTCTTCTCTTCTTCACTTAAACTGCTATCAGAATCAGCACCAGCTCTGAGATTGGGAGGAGTGAAAAGACTAACACGATTTGGCCGGGCAGCAGGTTTTCCAGAGTGGAGTGATGGTCCCAAGCCAGCGGGGCGCTCAACAGAGAAAAGCCTTGATCCATCTTGAGAGGTTATTGTGATATTGCCACCATCTTGTCCACCACCAGTTGCTGCTTTTAGAAGAGCTGCCAAGGCAGCAGAATCAAATAACTCTTTTCCATCCCCTTCTTCATCAGTGTCTACTTCTTCATCTGAGTCAGTCACAATCTGACCATCAATTCTCTGTGAGACTTCTCGTGAACTTTCAGCACCAGAGTATGAGTCAGCACCTGAATGCTGTTCCAACTCCTCCAAGAACCGCCTTGCGGCTTCGGAGCTCCCAAAAATCATACCCTCAGCCTCCTGATTTGAAACCGAACCATCATGCTCTCCAGCACCAAGATGATGCTTTTCCTCATCATCCTCATCTTGTCTCATTGCTTCTCTCCAGGAAGAATTAGGATCCACATGTTCAGCTGCATGAGATTCACCAGAGCCGTTGACATGCCTGCTAGTTTCCTCCTCATCAGCTTGAGCCTCTACATTTATATCATCTTGGGGAGCGTTCACCTCTGCATCAACATGACTATCAAAATCCAACTTCTCACTCTTTTCCAGAGAATCAACATCTAGCTTCCTCTCCGCAGGCTTCCTGTCACCATTGACTACACTACCAATATTCTGGCCATACTTAGGATCCAATGCCGCAAACTCACCAGAAGGTTCCTCAGCAGCCCCTTCAGCTGAATCAAACCCATGATCCAGGATAATACCTCCAGCCGGAGCAGCTAGCCCTTCAATTTCAGAGACCCCAGTATCCTCCTTATCACCGACAACAGCGGCTCCAGACCCCTGTGAAGTATCAACAATTGACTCCACTGCACGTGTACATTTGATATCATCAAATTCAACAGAATTACAATACGATGATTTACAACCAAATAATCTAAATGGTAAGTTTGACAACTACGGGTGTTAGTGTTACCTGCTATCACCCCTTGAGCACCAGCAGCACTGTCAGCTTCAACTGCAGTCACTTGCGGTGTTTCATCTACGAGCTCATTGTTCTGCTTTTGTTCAGCCTCCTCATCCTTCAAGTTGTGCAATTCTACCCCATTCTGCTCAGCAATATTTCCGCCTTTAAGCAAAGAGTCTATGCTTCCCTCCACTTTTCCGCCCTCAGACCCCATATCATTGATGTCACCGGAAGGTTGAGCAGATTCCACGTGGCTACGATCGAAACCAGTCTCCTTCACCACCTCACCGATATTCAAATCCTTTTGGGACTCCATTTGCACAATATCCCCCCTCAATTCCTCCGCCGATGCTCCAATTTCAAATTTCTCCCCCATAGCCTCTTCAGCTAAATTCAAATTATCATCACTGCCTTGCTCCAATTTACCACTTCCCAAAGGGTCATCTTCGTCATCATCCGCTGACACCTTGGCTATAGGCCTCCCAGACTTTGGCGTGAAAAATTCCTCAGAATTCACGAGAGCGGCACGAACAACTTCCCCTTTCACGGGTTTCTCATCTGCATAGATAAGAACTGGCCCCGCGGACGGCGTCTCAAACTCCTCACCGCCACTCACGAACCCATCATTATCGGACCCGCCATCATCACCGCCGCCATTAACAATAACATTAGTATCCTTGTTATCATCAGCATCCACAACACCGGTAGTTTGCTTCTGACTCAAAATTTCTTTATCCCAGTCATCAACAGAATAAGATGAAGGAGCAGGGCCCGATTGGTTGGAGGCATAGGAGTCCATTTCTGGTGCAGCACGTTCGGAGTCCATTTCTGGTGACTGTGGGTATATTTGAGCGAGGGAAATGGAACAAGATTAGGTTTTGATGAACAATACAGAGAGTGAGGGAGAAGAAGAGAGGCCCCGAAGAGATAAGGTTTGGAGAAGAGCCTCTCTCTCGGTTGTGCTTTGAGCTATGATATGCCAATGGGGGTGGCTTCGAGGGCTTTTTCTCCGGCCGGAGAATATGATTTGTATCTTAATTATGACATATTAATTAGGATACTCTATTTTAATTTATTTTTAAAAATAAATAATAAATCATGCTCGTCTCTTTATTTTTTTTATATCATACCGAACTTTTATCTAGTTTTAAGAAAAATTTGCATACATTTAAAAATTAAGAATAAAATTATTTAGTTTTAATAAAAAAGAAATTATATAATTCATCTGTTTCGCAAAGAATGGCCGTGTAGGCTTTTTTTTTTTTTTTGCCAACGATATCCGTGTAAATTTTGAATAAAATTTTAAAAAATTACGTCTTTAAAATTAATTAGGATGTGACACAATAATTTTTATTTTAATATTACTTATGATTTTGGTTCTCTGAATAAAAGGAAACAAAAATTTAATATTCTTTTTACTGTATATAAAGAAAATATGGGTGACAAGCAGCATAACTATCAAAAAAGAAAAGATCCATTTCGGCTAACCCAAGACAAACGTCCAATACATATCACCAAAAAATTTATCCCATTTCCCATGTAATGCCCTTTTTCTTTTTTCTTTTTTCTTTTTCTTTTTTTGTTTTTTGTACACCATTGCCTTTTAGTAATTTTATCACTTAGCCCCCCCTTTTTTTTTCCTGGAGCCTTTTCAAGATTACGTAAGAAACCAAACCTATCTATTATTCTCAATTTTAAATATAAGAATTAATTAACTAATTTGAATATATTAAAAAATTTATTAAATTACTTATTTGTAATAAATATGTGTTATCTTTTTTATAATAGTATTGCTAATCGTGTGTATCTGCTAAAATTAGATAGAATTTTTAACATATGCAACTACTATAAGAACTACTTTAAAAAATAAATAAATATGAGAGACAAAATAAATTAAAATCTTATATTTAAAACTAAATTGAATATCAAACTAGTCTTTATATTAAAAATGAGAGGTAACATATTGTTAATATACAATGTAAGAAATTTTAAAATTTTTTATTATTTATGAAGAATGATTTCTTTTTATCCTACGTGGAATGCACGAAATTCCACACTAGCTTTGCAAAAATATTGGAATTACGGTTATGTTTAAATTTGCTCATTTCTCCCTTTTAACAAAAAGACAAATGCTCTATATGTAATAGTGCAAAGTCATTATTGAAAAATAAACTCCAGTATCAAATATAAAGTTAAATTGTATCCAGTATTTTAAAATATTTTTTAAATTATTCCCACTATTTTAAATTAATTATTAGTGCATTTAGCACCTAAAATATTTTTCAATAATACTTAATATCCTGAGATAATTTTTGTACAATTTTACCCACAAAATATTTTTTTTAGTGGCAATGAGCACCTCAAATTTAGAATAGTATGTTGTGCTATTAAAAAATACTTTAAGATGTTAGATGTCTAAAAATTAGTTTAAAATACTAAATACTATTAAAAAAATAATTAAGGTGCTCATTTTTACCTCTTAAAAATTATGAATCATACGAATTATTTTTGAAATTCCATGTCCTAACGCTTATTTTACATTTTAGAGGTTAAGGTCAATTCAATATTTCGAAGCAAGTATATTTTAGACATATTTGGTATCTTAAGTATTTTTTGATTTATTTATCTACTATCTTAAAATATATTTTCATGCACATCTAGTATCTTAAAATATTTTTTATTCATTCAAGTTTTGAAATATTTTTCCAATCACACTACAATACTTTATGATGCAATTTTATCATGAAAATATTACAATGTTAAATACATCTAGAGTATCAAAGAAACCACAAAATAATTTAGCATATTATACACAGCTAAAAATATATTTCAAAGTGTTCTTAATATGTTCATGGCAAGTTACATGAATTAAATTATGCTCATGAATCTCCACCTGCCAACAAAATGGACAAAATCTAAAAATATTTTACTTGTTGGTTCATGATATTTATGAATTATACTTGCAAAAGAAACAAAAAATCCAAAAGGGAATGAAATGGACAAAAAGGGTTGATTTTCTGCTCATTGGAAATATCAGGGAGGGAAAAGAAAAGTGCAGAGCTGAGGTTGTGTCTGGTTGTGGATAAAAGATAGCGTAAGGGATAGAAATAGTTTAGGGTTCTGTTTGGTAGTGCTTGTCTTCTCTGCTGCGTTTGGATCAATAATACGTGTCTCCATTTTCACCCTCTGCTGCCTCATCTCAATTCATTGGTCACCATTGCCTATTCCTCTCTCATCGTCTCATCATCTAAATTATCCTCAAACTCCCTAACTATTTGGCAGCTTTTCATGAACATACCAATAATCCAACTTTGATTTTTCTGCAACACAAACTTGATTATATGATGTTCAATTTCATCAAAGTTAATAGTGCATTTGTATATTTATGTAATTTTCAAGGGAAGATTGGAATTTAAAATACAAAATCATGCATTTATGCATTATTCTTTGAAAAGTTTTATTTGGATATTTAGATTTCAAACACTAGAATACACGAAAAAAAAGCCATTTATTTATTATTGTACATGCAATAAAAAAAGAAGAAGGAAAGATATCATTTATTGTTGAGCTAGATTATTCTAGCCCTTTTTTGAAATCAAAACTATGTATCATTGGATATTATGCAAACAAATATGTCCAACTATTTATAAGTAGTATTGATAAATACAAAAAGTTATGCATCAAATGAAAAGATGTATTTTCCCAGTTAGGTTTTCCTTGGACTTCTTCATATGGCTGTTTATTTGCATTACCCTTGATTCAAAAATCATCTTTAAACTTATGTGATATTCAAAATCATGGTAAGTTATCTTAACAAGCCATAGATACTTGTAGAATTTTGCAATAGAAAAGCAATATGTTTGTGAAAATTTTATGGACAGATCATATTAAGAATAAATTAAAGAAAAATTAATCTGAGTCCCTATAGTTTCACTTAATTCTTAATTATGTCCAAATTTTTTTCCCTTTTTATAATATCTTTATGGCATCATTGATTTTTAATCAAGTCCTTGTAATTTTCCCCCACATTTGCTAGATCCATATAATTTTACCTCATTTTTAATCAAGTTCTTGTAATTTGTCTTCTTTTAACCAGTCACATGAAATTTGATTACAAATAAGGTAAAATTATAATGAATTGATGACATGAATAAAAACTATAAAAAAGATGGCCAAAAATCAGCATAAACTATAAGCATATGATTAAACAAAGCTATTAAAATCTGAGTACAAATTATGTGAAACTGTAAAAACTCAAAAATTAATTTCACATGGGAGTCAAAAGTTGAAGAACTAAATTTAAAAACCATGGCAAGTTATTTGTAAAAATTTGATTAAATTTTAATTTTATACTACTTTTAGTCCTAATTATAAGATCTCATTTGTAGACTATAAACAAAGTCTTATAATTAAGACCGGAGGTACTAGAATACTTCTCTATAATTTACTTTGTCAATCAAAATCTTTTTACACAGGATTCAACTTTGCGAAAGAAAATTTATAATTATCTATTTTATCATATGGAGAATAAAATTGCAACGTCATTTTAGAACTCAATGTTAATTAATTATTACTATTATTAACATTAAATTAAAAATAAAACTATAATTGCAGGTTAGACAAGAAATTGACTTTTTAAAGAAAACAAATGAAAAATACACACTTTTTAAGGCGGGAAAAATCAACCATAAGGGTGGAGGAGAAAATTTGCGCGTAATGATCACAATTCAATGTGCAAAAATAAGACCTAAATGTCATATCAGGAAGGTCTATATCTTAATAATTACATACAAATACACTGCGAACTACGGTGTCCAACATTTCCTCACCAGACCTAGCGATACGCAACACAACTCTGGGTTAAATCTCCCCTCGCTTAATCATGACAAAACCCATTCGCTCTATCTGTAACAAGCTAAATATAAAACAATCCAACCAACCAAATCTCATGACGTCGGATAATCTCTTAAGGATCCACATTACCCGTTACAAAAACAAAGAAATGCCCACACAACAAAAATCTCATCTTTCCGAGGCTAGAAGGAAAGGATGACGCTGAGAAAAACTATGGTCGAAAGCACTTCAATTTACATTTTACCTGCTTCATTTTGCAACCTTCCTAACAAACCCTACTACGCAAAACCTGTGGGGTTCCGCAGAACCAGACTGAAGCACATAATGCCACATCTAAGGCTAGTATTGGTTGGAAATTTGTCTCTGATATACATCAGACCTCTGCTATCTAAGAAGTCGCCATTTCTGTAGTTTCAGGAAATCCCATCTGATGAAGCGAGATCCTTTTGGTCAGGACTCAGATTGGTATTGGACAGTGATTTATCTGCTGATGATACCTCATTCTGTTCGTCCTCGCTTTTCTTTGAATTAAGAAACCGACCTCCACATCCTCGTGCTCTTCTCAATGCATGCAAATGCCGGGACTCATGCAAATATGGCTGCAAGTTTAAAATGACGATCATGACGATCAAGTATATCATAGAAGGAACGCTAGGATGCACAGGAAAATGTGAGTCAATACATCTAAAACCACAAAAAATCGATGGCAGCATCAAAAAACCAGTGGCTTCCAACACCACTTTCTATTTAGCAAGAATTATATGCAAACGGGGCACAGAATAATATACCTTGCGATTCCTGATAACTTTATTTAATGATTCAGCTTTGGCACGAGACTGTCTGCGCCTCAATATACCATGATACTGTTTTGCATTGACAAATACAGGTTCCTCAACTGCATCTGTTGGCAGAGGAACACCGGCTTGTTGAATCCCCATTAACTGAAGATGAACCTGCCACAAGATATTGTTTAATGATCAACGAATCAAGAAAGTGTTTTCACAAGAAGCCATCGCACTTTATTAGAAGAACTAAGACTAACCATTGGCTGTGCTCCATAGGGTTGTGGGGCATAAGGTTGTGTCTCATATGGAGCAAAGATGCTCCTATAGTAAGGATCGGGGTATGGATAAACCGGTGCCTTCAATCAGATAAAACATGCAAAATGCATAAAAAATTAAATTTAATAGAAATTGGAAGTAATGCTCTTCGCTACTACTGATATAGGATTTCTCAAGTTACTTAAATTAATTATACATTAATTAGAATGCAACTTCTAATATGAGTACATACAGGTTAAAAAGAGAGAACTCCAGATGTTAAAACACTAAAATGCCAAATTTTATTCATCAAAACAAAAGTAAAAAGGTCACTGAAAATACCATAGCAGGTCCAGTTCCAGTCTGTGGAGGAGGCACTGCATACTGAACATTCTGGGTAGCAATACCTGAATCAGAAATTCCGTTTGCAGATGAAGACTGCATCTCTGAGTTAGATTGCTGCTGCTGCTCATTAGCTTCGTTATCTGGCAATCACATTCCAAAGATCAGATTCAGATATTTTTTCTTTGGGGGAGGGGACAGGATCAAGTAAAATACAGTTCATCACCATAACTAATTTATCTCGTATGTCTTTGAAGAGGAAACTGATATTTTCATCCCATCCTTGAAAAAATAATAAAAAATTATCAAGGAAGCAGAAATCATGAATAGTGAGCTACTACAATCCTTAGATATACTAGAGGTATGCTTCAATTGTTTTCAGAAAATATATTATATATATATATATATGTATGTATGTATGTATATATAGTGTAGTTGAAGTCATGATGAAATTGTAAAATCTAGAATACCATGGATTAGAAAAGACACGAGTCTTATTTACTGAAATATGTGTAAGGTTCTTAGTCAAGTGAACAGAAAAGGAAGGTAACATATTGGCTTAATTTAATAAGAGCTATGAGATAAGAGGATATGAGACTAAAATTAAAACCATTTCATATAAATTACACTGAAGCTAAATTAAGAGGTTTAGGAACGTATCATAATAAAAGGTTAATGATTTATGGGCAACCTATAAAGAAAAGGTCGAATCTCGTAGGAGGTGGTCATTGGTCACTGTGGCCAAAGATTAAAGGAGGTACATAATTAGGAAGAAACATGGAGACTTTCAGATTCTACTTAAAAGCTTAGATTTCTTTCCAAAATCAAGTGCTTAAAATTTTAGTCTTGGTTTTCAGAAAACCTGAAAATCAAATTTCAAGAGGAAAGGGGGAAATGCACATAGAGGAAGTGAGGCATAAAGGCTATGACGACATGGGGAATCTTTCTGATCACTGATCACAACATCAGTGCCTCGTATGCAACATCTTAGGGAAGTACAGAACTCTCGACCAAACTAATGGGAGGAAGAGCATTTAAATGAAAAACAAATATCCAGGACTAACCAGAAGAATATAGAACTTGCAGGACCAAAAGTGAAATTCACCACCATAATGGAACTGTCGTATTTGCTGGAATATAACAAATCGATAGTTGTATATTTATCATGTTTATGCCAATAGTTATGCATATTTTCCATCTCTAAAGAGCTACATTTTATAGTTCCCATTAACTACCACATTAGCCACAAGAAGATCTTGTAGGTTGTTCGCAAATTTTGGGCATAAATATGATCCACTTATCATGGCTGAAATTTGAAAAAAGTAGCAACAAATAATAAATTAGATCAAGGTTTATTCATGGGAATACCAATAAATTCATGATCAGATGAAGTCATAGTTTCCAAATTCACGAGCAAGACCAAGCCCAAATCTGGAAGCAAAACAAAAACTGTCAACAAAATTCAATAGCATCATCTACAGCTGCAAGCTATACAGAGAAACAGGGAAAGAGAAAAATAAGAAATAATTGACAGAATCCAAAGGTCTCTGTCAAGGGCCGTCAAATGAATAAATAAGTCAAAAGCTCAAGAACCTTTATTCTGTCGAAATGTCTACAAATCCAGAAGACAAAAGTCCATAACAGAGCTGGCATGGAGATCACAAAGAAGAAATATCAGCAGAAAAAATGAATGATGAAATTGAAATTGATCGACAATTTCACCAATAGAAAGGCAGCAATCTTAAACACTGAACACTCGCAACTTCTACAGATAATTGCCACAATCAAACTGAAAGCCTGTATGTTGCATGCTATCATGCATTCATGCTACAGTGTTATGTCTCACTAAGGAAAGCATGCGGCATCTTACATCATGTCCTCAGTAATGTCAACGTCAGTAGTTTCATGATATCTTCTCAGAAATAACAGTAACAATCTAATTTAAATATTCATTTAAGTATTCAATCAAAAAGGGAAAAAATATCCATTTTAGTCACTCATTAAAACTATGGCACATCTGCGCATCTCTGCAGAATAGAAGCCTATGCACACTTGCCTTCCTAAGTTCACTCCCACTCCCAAGATGATGATCAGTTTCTCTGTACAAATATTGCAAGTTTTTCCCACTTCCGAAATATATAAGACATGCCCATCCAACAAGAAAAGTGTGCCAAAAAGCTCAAGAGAACGGAATCAACAGCTCATAATTGGACCAAGACACAGAAGAAAAGAAAGACATCCTGACAACAAACGAGCAAAATCAGAATACCCGTGTTATACGGTAAGTTTTAACCTGCTAGAGTAAATCAATGCACACTGCAATGGCTGTCACCCAAATTCAATAGAATCATCAGGGGAAAATAAGGTCGAGAACACAAAATACCTACACACCTTTAGGTAAATCTGAAAATGGGACGACAAAACAATATCACACTTATGTTTTATAATGCTTCAATTCACATTCCGATGCACGGAAGTTCAAAACCATAATTTGCATAAACAGATAAGACTACTCAGACAGAAAGATTCAAGATACAACAAAAAAAATTACATTTTGTTCAACTCAGTCAACGTATAAAAGTAAGACAATATTGAAGACACAGCGTCGCGACTCACGAACCATTTAAAATTAGAGAATAAATAAGAAAGGGAGTGTGAAGGGGGTCCGTCCTGCAGGAGAACTGAAATTCTCCCTTTTCATCATTCGCTAATTAATTTCGCTTCGAATAAGTTTACCGCATGATTTAATAAAAAAAATCCTAAATTTGAAAAGGGTTAGTTTTCTTTCACTTCGAATTCGGCGTATTCAAACAAAAAATTAAAAATATAAAATCAAATTTGGAACATAATTTAGGTCTGAGATCCGAAATTAACCTCGCAGAGCGTGAAATCTTCTTCTGCTTGAGAGAGGAACGAAAACTCGATGATGCGAGGCAGACGGGCTCCAACAGAAATGGGAGAAAATCCACTCTCACCTCACTATCCTTCAGTGAACATTCACTGCCACCTAATCTACACAAAAACTTTCCAACACCATCCCGGTCTCAACATTTTCACCGTCCCGCTCGCGCTCGTTTTCCCGATCGGTTCATGGTGGGTGACGTGGCAGCTGGAACATTTAAGGTTCGTGAGGGAAATTTCGGGCAGGAGAGAATGGGCCACGGGGAATCGAAGGAGAGAATCTGGGCCAAGGAATGAGTGGGCCCCAATGCATAAGTGGTGGCGATGAGGTCTGACCGCTGACCGTTTGGGAGTTGAGGGAGGATTGATGAAGTGTACGGAACGGATCAGGTGGGCCCACCCACCAGAATTGGAGTTGTGATAGGGTTTCCGTTTGTGTGCCGCCACCTGTTAAAATGGTAAATTCCACGTTTTTCCTTCGTCCATGTAGGAAGTAAATTCTATAGACCAGGACTGTGTGGCTGTGATGGGTTCCAACTTCCAACGTTCATTCTCTCTCTGTTTTTTCCTTTTCCCAACGTCTGTTCAAAACAGACTTGTGTTCTGCAATTATGATTTAGAATGCTTAATTTAATTAAGATTTTATATTTATAACATAAGACTGCATTATTATTTATTATTTTTCAAATTGAAAGTTGCAAGTTGCAATTTTATTTATTGGAAGGTTTTCGTTTGCTATTTTCCCTAAAATAAAATTATATGATCTTAATTTTATTTTATATCTCTAACAACAACTTAAATCATCTTACTCAAATTTATACTGTTCAATTGTTTTCAATCAGACCTCCCCCCCCCCCCACCATATTTAGAGGCGGCAAAATTAAATAGGGGAAGCGGCATCCTGCATCCATTTTGTTCATACATCCATACTTTGGCAATTAGAGGAGTAATAACATGACCGGTTCATACTTCATAAGAACATATATCATCAATTATGGGTTAATTTATTTTTCATTCATAGCTATATTTTTCATTTTAGTTGATCGATCATTTTGGCCATTTCCTTAGCTACCAACCAGTCTAGCTGTACGCTGTAGAATATGAGAAGAAAAGGATCATGTGAGAAGGGAGAAATTACAAGATAATGTGAGAGAAGGCGAGACCAGAGGTGGGTCGGGAACAGTGGGATCAACGGCCAAAAGCGCACTTTGCCGCTGGGAAATATATCGTCTGCCAGGAAGCGAAGATTGCGTTTGGAGCTGCGAGCAGTGGTTGGTAGGAGGAGGAAGGTCGGGTTTTGGAGGGTTGGAGGAAGAAGGCGCGAGCTTCTGACGTTTCGGTTCATCTTGGTCATCAACCCATCGTCAGAAGCATTACCGTACACGTCAGAGAGAAGATCCACCGCCGGCGGCCTCTCACATCGATTCTTCCTCCGCGCAATTTTTGCCCATATACAAATTGACGGAAATTTTTGCCAATATGGACATGTTTAACATATCCAGCCCATTTGCATTTATTTTAATTGTTTATGGGCTTAACTTTTTGTTATTGTCTTACGCTACTTTGAACTTAGGACTCCACTTACCTTTTTTTATGCGAAAATTAAGTGGATCCATGAGGGAAGCGTCGTCGGCATCGGAGGAATCTGAGCATTGGTGGACTGTGACCAAAGGGAGGGTCTGTAAAAGTTGAGTAAATTTGACTGTGAAGTCTTGAAGATGAAGACCCAAAGAAGGAGGGAAGAGACGCCTCCACTCCACTGAGCGCCTTTGCTGCAAAATCCGACGTCTTTTCAAGCTCAAAGCCCAAATATATAATTATGAGTAAAATACTGTGACCATTACTTTAATTAGACATGTTAACTTTAGAGATTTGAGAGAAATAGGAAGAAAAAAAGATGGAAATCAGATGTATTATATATGATAGAGCACATGCTCATATAATCATTGTACCCCACTTGGATTAACACTAATCATCCCTTATACAAGGGTGATAAACAAATCTCATAACCTATGAGGATTCTTGACATTGGAGACCCAAGTTAACCTCCCCCTTTTATGGTGAAGATTATATTATCTCACACTCTAAACACATCACACTAGACCCTTTATATAGGACTATCTCACTTAGCAAATGACTCAATTATCTTCTCTCTAACAAGACAGATCTCCCTTGAATTATCATTAACACCGTGAAGAAATATTCTTCTTTAAATATATTTTTTTAAAGCCATATCAAAATAAATTCTACTTACTAATTTACCTCTCCTTATATAAAATCTCTAATTTGTCATTTAACATTAATATTTAATAATGATCTATTTAACATTGTCTACTAAATTTAGGCAAAATTTAAGTAATTTCAATTATTGATAACTTGGTTGAAAACCTGAACAAAGATGTTTTGTGAAATATATTTAAAAATTTTGAACCATAACATATTGATATAAGAATCATTTACAACTTTATAATTTAATTAAAAATACATATGTACAATTGTTAAATATTTTCAGCGAACACATATATTTAAAAATTATATCAGAAATAAGTTTTAATAAATAAATGAGATCAATAGTTGACGGTTCTGAAGAACCGCCAAGTATGTTATATTTGACAGTTCTAGAAGAGAATCGTCAAGTATGTTCTTAAAAGACCTAACAGTTGTCCTAAAATCGTCAAATATTTTTGTCTAAACTGTCAAGTATTATGGTGAAGTCTCGCCTTCTTCTTGGCGGAAATATATATCTCCATGAGTCGTTGGGGTCTTGTGTAGATGTTAAAAAATAAACATGAATTACACTAATCTTGTTAACGTCTTTTTCGCTGTCGATACCAAAGAAAATCACCGGATTTAATTCCAACGATTTCTCAGTCCCTCCTGCATCCTCCCTTGCCTCAGCATGCGAGCCATGTGTTTATTATTGAAAAATTTCGTTGCTATTGTGAACTTGAAAGGCATATTAATATTGGCATCAGATCGGTGGATAAAGTCTCTCAGTACCTGAATAACGGCGAGTCACTTTTGGCTGGAGTTGATGTGGCTGTTTACGGAAGGGATGGAAGGGTTTCTGATATGAGTCTCAAACTCACGCCATACAGGAAAAGGCTGAATCCATGGGTGTCGAAGCAAGAACTAAGCGATATTGGGCCGACCATGTGGGTGTCAAAGAAGGGTATAGAGTGTGGATATTCACAAAGCGTCTGAACGACCGTTTTGTGTTCTTGGTATCTTGAGGCTACAATGAAGGTCGGAATAGTTTTATTGTCAAATTTTTCATTCTCCAATTCATATTTTGATCAATGGTACACATGTTGATTCCTCAATTTCTTTTGTGTTTTAGTGTTACATTCTTGTTATTCGATTTTGATCTTTTTCAGAAGTGGTTTGATGTAAATTATGGCTGTCAAATTCACTTGGAAATGAGGTTTTCATTGCAAGAATACTTTCCCATTGCTGAATTGGTTTTTTGTTATGCTACTGTTGATCCAGTGAACAATGCGATACAAGATTGTAAACTAGTGATCGACTCTTATGCTGTTAGTAATTTTTGTCTGTGAGTAATTTAGTATTCCAAATTTCATTTATCATTCAATTAAAAAATAAATCTTGTTTTAAATAATTATATGGAATTTTAAACAAATAAACTTTGCTATCATCGATCTAAATATGCATGCCTTGAGCGGAGAAATATCAAAATTTACAGCATATGCATCATTGATCACAGTCATCTCTAACACTGTATTTATTGGAAGACTATCAAACAATAACTTGTACTTTTCTTAAGGCCCCTTGTTCAAATATATCCTCCGATCCTTATTATAAGACCCAATTTGACTTTTTATTTGGTCCTAATTATAAGACCCAATCCATTTGTGTTCTTATATTTATGCATTTTTTTCCAAGATAATCCTTCTAATAATGATAGTTTTAGCCAATATACTTAATTAGCAAGGATATTTTAGGAATGACAACACTTATTTATTATAAATAACCAACTTAACTTACTTCCTTAATCTCCTCAAATAAGTCAATTGGGTCTTATAATTAGGACCGAAGGAGCATCATGTTAAAATCATTCCATAGCTCTTGTTAAGGTGCTGAGAGTCTCGTCTCCTCCTTGCTCTTTCTGTTTTTTTCAATTCTGCTCAACAGGTTGTCTCTTCTCACTCTGTAATTTCCCACTCTAGTTTTATTCCACACCGTATCTTGGCGAGCAAAAGAACCTGTTGCTAAGCATCTTTGAACTAAATCAACAAAATCATTCTCTAAAGACCACGCTGCTCGGCATCTGAAAGCGGGGGATAGTTCTTCTATTACTCGGTTCAGGTTTACTTTTTAGAAGCAGAGCTGTGGTCGAAACCCAAACTTACTCAACGTGTGCACTTTAGACGAAGGAAATAGATTAACCAATCAATATTTGAGAAAGCCCCATCTATCTTTTCCTTTAAAAGCCCTCTTTCCCAAGTGAATCTCTCCCCCCAACATTCCATTTCAACCAATTGTGACTCCTGGATACACTCTTCAAATTGTTTCATGGAAGAGCGTTACACCTTGCCCCTCCTTTCTTGTCATCGTGACTGAGATAGGCATTGAAATCGCCTACAACAATCCAGGGACCATTTATCATTCTGCTAATGTTTATCAGATCAGACCAAACATCTCTTCTGAGACCAAAACACGGTTCCGCATAGACGCAGGATGGGGAAGAAGGAAAAATTTCTTTTTTATTTTCCACATGGAGGTGTAGAATTTGGGTTGTAGAAGAAATAAATTTAACATTGTTCTGTTCATCGTTCCACAATACCCAGGTACCTCCCGCGCGAAACCCGTTGACTCCAACCGAATCCACAGTTTGTGAAACCCAGTTTACTTATAATTCGATCTGCTATTTTTTTCCGCTCACTTGAGTCTCTATCAGAATAAGCAAACTGACATTCTTTCCCCTGATCAAATCACCCACTCTTCCCAGAAAGGATTTTGAGGCGGTGCCTCTACAATGCCAAGTAATAATTCATGGTAAAAGAGGAAGAGGTTAAAAAGGGTCCTACCTTATCATTGAGAAATGAGGTTTAACACAATCACTGGTACCCATCTGCATTTCCTCCTTTACTTGATCTGAGTTTCGAATCATTGATCATTTGCTTTTCATTAGAATCCATATCAGGTTTCGATTCTTCCAGGGTTGCTGGGTCGGGAGGTTTCTTGGGACTACTCATCATTTGTTCCTCCATCTCTCGGTAAATTTGAACATTGGGACTTGGTTCTGCCTGAGGAGACTGGTGAGTTCCACGCCGTGCTCAGCGAACCCCGTGGCACGGCATGCTCATCCCTCAAGCACTGTCGTTTTGGGATGAAATGCAACCCCCTTTTTTTTTAATTATTTGAGTTACATTGTATTTAGTGCAACATATCCTAAATTTTAGTATATTAAGTATCTTAAAATATTTTTAATAGCATGAATATCCTAAATTAATTATTTTTAAGTGAGTTCATCATCTTAAAGTATTTTTCTACAACACCATTACTTAAATTAATTAATTTTTGGTACATTCAGTATCCTAAATTAATTAATTTCTAGTATATTACGGTATTTTTAATTAAGATTGTTATCAAAAAAATACTTTAGAATATTAGATGTATTAAAAAAATTAATTTATAGTACTGGGTATTACAAAAAAAAATTCAGGATACAGTATGCAATTAAAAAAAATTAATTTGGATAGTGGGCGTTACTAAAAAAATAGTTGATTATGCTAGATGTATTAAAATTAATTAGCCTAAGTACAAGGTCCTACTGTAAAAGTATTTAGTACTTCAGGATACTAGATACACTAAGAAAATAATTAATTTTTAAAATTAGATGCTACAGGATATTGAATATACTAAAATTAATTATTAGAATATTAGGTGTTACTGAAAAATATTTTAAGATATTAGATGCACTAAATATTATTAATATGAAATATTGGGTTCCTACTATTAAAAATATTTTAGAGCACTAAATTTATTAAAAATTAGTTAATTTAAAATATTAAATGTTGCTAAAAATATTTCAGGAGACTATATACAACTTAACTAAATGTTTTTTTTCTGCTAACTGCTAAGTATCTCTTAATATTTATTATTCTTAATAATTTTAATTAATATTGATAGATGTAATGTTGTTAATTGCCATTATACATGGGCGCGGAGGGAGCGAGTAATATAATTTATAAGCACCCATCCCATTCCCTTCCCCGTATTGATGCATATTGATCCATTGAGTTTGGCCGAGCATTTGAAGGTCCTTTTTTTTTTTCTGCATAGCTGCAACACCAGGCCGGGCTTATTCAGGCTACCTAGTCAGGTTAGCCCAAATTTACAATTCTATTTTCAGAGACTTCTCAAATCTCAGGGTCCAATCGCTCATCGAAATCAAGACTGGGGCAAGCCCAATATTGGTTCCACCTTGAAAAAAAATCCACAAAAGCAATTAAAAATAAAATAACAATCTCATCTTTTATTTATTAAATCTAAGACTCTATTCCTTTTCCTCAGCAAAAGATAAAATTAGATTTAGTCGGAGTTGTTTGAAGGCCTCAATCATTAATGCTGAGAGCTGTTAAAAGGAAAAAAAAATCACTCTTTTTTTTTTTTCCACTTCTTTATAATTTTTTATAAAATATAAATTGGTATTTTTCTTGATAAACAGCAATCTCTCAGCACATTCATAACTTAAATTTTCACCATGCACCGCGCTCTCACAAATCATAATTATTTATAATCTATAAATAAATTGACTTAGTAGACATGTCTAGCAAATAATGAAATCAACGAGAAATTTTTATAATTTGTGAATGGTATTTATTTTATAAAAATATATATTAACAGTGATTAAAAGACTTACTATTGCTTTTATGTTTTCAGCCTAAAGATCGAAATGTTGAATCTTCTATTTCTTCTGGTTCAAACAATAATATTTACTAGTATTTTTTAAAACAAAAGTAAGATTGACTTATAAGAATTGAAGTATAAAGACTGACATAAAATATGAGACTAAATTTAGAGAAATCACAAAAAAAACTTAGAATTTTAAAAAACACAGATAGGAATATATGACAATTTTATTATGGGTTTTGACAATTTCATGATCTAGTAACCTATTACTATCCAAAGCTATAATGAAGTTGTTAAGATCTTTATCTGTGTTTTTCAAATTCAGGGTTTTTTAATTGCAATTTCCCCCTAAATTTAATTCAACTAAGGAAAGATTAATGATTTATTGCCTAGTTGATGGCGCAGCCCATCGAGTCAGTGGCACTCCGGAGGGGCCAAAAGAAAAAAACCGTCTTTTCCCAGTCGCCAAAAGATCATTGGAAGGGCTCGTCAAACTTCTTCCTGCATGATCTAGGGACCTGACCCTCGCTATATATGCCTTTAAAGTTCTCATACTCGTAGCAGTTTTCCATCGGCACCTTTGCCAATTAGTTCCTGAGATCACAGGACAGAGGCTACGTATTTTCAGATTTCGACCCAACGATGATTCATTCGGCCGTGTCCCAGGTAAACCCAGTGACATTATTTTCATGATGCTGACACTCTTTGACTGACTAGAATACATGACGAGTCGAAATGGAATCGAGGTTTGACTTTTTTGTGGGTTCTATATGGGTTTTAGCGGGAGCTTGAGTTTCTGCTAGTTAAATGTCAAAGCTCAAAATTTCAGCCGACCTGTGTGGGGTTTCTGATATAAAATTGAGAGATTCTTTTTCTTTGTGCATTTCTCAGCTATTTAGCAAAAATTAATAATATACGAATATGTGGGCTGCAATATCTTTTGCAGGTGGCTATAACTGTTCCTGCCAGCAGCGATTTGTCTCTGAGAAGATCTGCGCTTAAGGTTCGATATTTCTTACCATTCGCGTTTTGACTTTCAAAAAACGGGTTCTGTAAATTGCCCTTTAATGTATCTTAATCCACCATCTGAAGGATTTTGATTAAAGATGTTTTATTAATGAGTGTATGAGGAAGCAAGTTTTACTCTTGATTGATTTACCTAAAGGGACTGAAATGAGTGGAAGAGATCATGGAGAAAGCCTAGTTTCATTGTATTTTGGAAGGACAAATTCTAGGTACAAATTATGGTAATCCTCTATATAATTGCAACTAGGGTTTTTAAAAAATTTTGGTCTGCTCCAGCGCAGTGCTGGTTCATCAATTGTGTTTGCTTGGCGCACTTCTATTCTATATGGAATTCGATTATCTTAAAAAATGTCGATTCGGTTATGCTATTCATTTTATAGTTCAATTACAAACATCTGAGAATCATAGTGCAGTTCCTAGCATTACAGATTATTTTTAAATAATTACAGTCAGCAAAATTTTGCTTTCTATTCGAGTTCTATAATTCAGGTTTCTAATGCTAGTTAGCAGCCACATAATGTAAATTTTCAGGAGAAATCATGGGCAAGGTTATTGACTCTGGACTTGAAGTCAGACAATGTGCGCTCAAGAAATCTTCATCTGATATGCAAGTCAGTGCAACAAGCAAGTGCACCTAAAGTTTCTGTCTCCCCTTTAAAATTGGAAGATGACTCTGAACCTCCATTGAATATATACAAGCCCAAACAACCGTATACAGCAACAATTGTTTCTGTTGAGAGGTTGGTGGGCCCAAAAGCTCCTGGGGAAACTTGTCATATTGTGATCGATCATGGTGGAAATGTTCCTTACTGGGAAGGACAGAGTTATGGCGTTATCCCCCCCGTAATTCCCTTATTCTATTGATGGTTATCTAATGCTTCCTTACTTGCAACTGATATTTCTAACTAATACTGTGCATTGGGCAACAGGGTGAAAATCCAAAGAAAAACAGGGGCTCCTCATAATGTTCGACTTTATTCGATTGCTTCCACTAGGTATGGAGATTTTTTTGATGGCAAAACAGCCAGTTTGTGTGGTGCGTCGTGCTGTTTATTATGATCCAGAGACAGGAAAAGAAGATCCTTCTAAGAATGGAGTTTGCAGCAATTTTTTGTGTAACTCAAAGCCCGGAGACAAAGTGCAGATTACAGGTATCTTATCTAATCTTAGTTGGTCGAAGGTCAAGGTTCTACAAGATGAGTCATTTCTTTTTACATTTTTCAAAAGTTGTATTCCCTGTATATTGTGGTACTAGGTTTTGAACGTCTTGATTGTGTTTTGTACCTGCTAAGTTGTCTTGTGATTCCTGTTACCGTAGGCTCACTTTGCAGTTGCCACAAAATCCACAAAAGCTGTGCATAGGCTTTCATTGCCTCCTTGAGGTAGTGCTTGCAAATAATCTTGCACTAGGCGCTTCTCTGAGAATCATATAAATGGAAATTCTTGACAGCTATTTGTTTGTTGGTTAATCCTGTGGACTTCTGTTAAAGGTGTGCTTTGCAAGTGAATAAATTTAAATAATAAATGGGATGATTGACAATATGTGAGATAAGCGCTCCTAATTCCCTTGATGGACAATGGCTGGAGTTCAAAATCAGACAAACTTGGTGACTTGTTAGTATGCTTGAAGTTGCTAGAGTAAAGTGTGCCAATTTTCACAATTTAACAGCTCTTAAGTTCCAACGTTTGGTCTGTGATACATCGTCAAATTCAATGGTCTGGACTCTGGAGCATGGCAAAGAAATGGGAAAATGACATACATAATAGAAAGCATTAGCCGGGTTACTAATGTTCATGAATTTGCTTTTAAGAGGCTTGGTTGTAGTCCCTCTCACAGATGGGGTATCATGCCCATTCAGTTTTTCCTTTATGCAGTCCAAACATCATCGTAAAGGCCATTATTTGTCTCCCATGAATCGCCACCCCAAGTTTTTTCACTTTCTTGCAATGTTCTGTAAACTTGTTGCTCCAGTTGTTGAAAGTCGATTGCTGTTTTTATCATTAAACTAATTCTTTGTAATCTTTGTATAAAATGGATATAATGAAAGGTTTACTTTGCTGCTGCTGGTAATAGAACTGCTAATATAGGTTTGAGATGCTGATAAAATCATACGTGACATTATCTACGACAAAATGACAACGTTAGTTTAGTTTGCTTCCGTATGAAAATTTGATTATCAACTTTTATCATTATTAAGGGTAGCTAAAATTTGATTTTTATATGCTAGGAATTTAGTCTTTTACACTGCTTTTTTTTTTTTTTTGGCAGGCCCCTCAGGGAAGATAATGCTGTTGCCTGAGGATGACCCAAATGCTACCCATATAATGATTGCCACTGGCACTGGAGTTGCTCCTTTTAGAGGCTATCTCCGCAGAATGTTCATGGAATCAGTCCCTACATTCAAATTTGGGGGTCTAGCATGGCTATTCCTTGGCGTGGCAAACAGCGACAGTCTGTTGTATGATGATGAATTTTCCAAATATCTGAAGGACCATCCAGACAACTTCCGCTACGATCGTGCTCTTAGTAGAGAGCAGAAGAACAGGAATGGTGGCAAGATGTATGTTCAGGACAAGATTGAGGAATATAGTGATGAAATCTTCAAACTCCTGGACAATGGGGCTCACATCTATTTCTGTGGTCTTAAAGGAATGATGCCTGGGATCCAAGAAACCTTGAAGAGGGTTGCTCAGCAGAGAGGAGAAAATTGGGAGGAGAAACTTTCACAACTTAAAAAGAACAAACAATGGCATGTTGAAGTCTACTGATGTTCTATTTTGCTGGATATTCCCATCTTTATGGAGAAATACGTTCCTTACACATAGGTATTCCATGGATTATTTCAAGGAGAAAACTTAGGTGCTCAAAAGTTGTTTTATCATCTTTCGATATTATTATGACGTGGATTTTCTTTGTAATGCATTAATAACATGGCTGTGTTGGAAGAAAGTAAGAGATGTCCACGTGTTGTAGTTTTATTGAAAAAAAACTGATAACAAACCCATAAAGACTTCATTCTAGAGTCTTCTTCATTTTCAATAAATTCAATGAGTAGCTTTCTTGTATGATAAAAATTATTCTGTGATGATAGAGCTTATTTTCTTGATGAATACAAAACTGAAGACCCGGTCCTGGGTGGTGATTATGAAGTTCTTCTACAGTGGCAACTTCTGTCTGTTGTCTTTTTATTTTGCTAAGCCGTAGGCAATCTCCCTAAGTAATTGAACTATTGAAGCAGGGCCTTTGATGAAAATAGTATGTAACTTTGGGTTTGTTGTGAGAAGAAAGTGGCATATGCTTGAAGGGCAACTTAACTCCTAAATGGGCTTTGAAACCCAGAACAGTTTGTTCTCCTTGCCAAGTCTATGAGCTTGAATAATGGAATGTTCCATGTTGGTTTAGCCCTTGGAAACCAGTTTAAAATTGAAGCTTTGGATCGTAAGTGGGTTCTCAAGCTTTGTTTCAAAATGAATTTTGTCACCACCATTATTCCAAATATGGCGCCTTCAAATGTATTGGGTTGAATTCCATGGCCTAGTGATGAGGACATGCTCTTTTCATTGACTTGGCTCATAGACTCTCGGAAGGGTAGCTAGTTTCTGACAGTCTCCCTTGTCTTTCAATAAAAACGAGCCCTGTTAAAAACTTAAAATGGCATCAGTCGTGTGCTGATTTGTTATTTCCTCATTACTAAATATGTGAAGGCAGCTTTCTACAATTGACAATGGCACTGACTAGTTTAAGTTTTTTTTTTTTTAAATTGAAAACCAAAATGATTATTTAATTTTCTGTTTACAAGTTATACAAGCTGAATATAATTTTTTTTTTTCATATTACAAAACTTATGAATATCTGAACTTCTGTTAAGTCTTTCATCCCGTTCAGTTTGTAGAGTAAAGCTTCTTTAATATTTGTTTTAAGTCCATTAAAATGGCATTGATATGGATTTTGCAATATTGTGTCAAACTTAAAATGTTAGTTATGTTTTTGCCACTAATACTTTAAAAATTTATATACTATGTTGAAATCATCAAATGAATGATTTTGTGCGAGGACACACACACACATTTATGTGTGGGCATGCATTTTTATAGAAACTTAAATTTGAGGCTTGAGACTTCTAGAAATATGGACAAGGGACAACTCATCAGCAGAGAGAAATCACGAACTTCACAGTAAACAAATAAGAACAAATTTATAAGGATCCTCGGCTCAGATCTTACCTTTCTCTTTTTTGTTTTTTTGACCAGGCTTACTTTTCTCTTTTTACTTCGGTAGTTTTCATCTTGTCACTAAAAAACATAATCCACGGTTTTTAAATAAAAATATTTATATTAAGAATTGGAAGAGTATATTATTTTCTAGAGTCAAATATCTTAGGTAAACAAATAAGAAGAAATTTATAAGAATCCTCGGCTCAGATCTTACCTTTCTCTTTTCTTGTTTTTTGACCAGGCTTACTTTTCTCTTTGTACTTCGGTAGTTTTCATCTTCTCACTAAAAAATACTCTTGAGGTCTTAAATATAAAACATATTTAATAATCTGATCAAATAAAAAAAGTTAGTTAAGTTTGTTAATTATAAAACATATGACCTATTTTTTTTTAAAAATACTATAATCATTTTTTTAATATCCTCTCTCCCTCTTTTACTTAATTATAGTTGAGAGAGTATCAATAGAAACAATTTACCAAAAATTAATAAACATGATGAAAAAGTCTTACATTTAGGATTAAAATTAACTAAATAATTAAGGATCGGAAGAGCATCTTATTATTTCCTAGATTCAAATATCTTAGGTATCTCGATTTACTTGCTATGGGGGAATTTACCAACTTGGATTAAAGCCACATTATTTTGACACTTTAAGATTGTTTGGAATCAATGTAAAATTTTGGCCAAAGCAAGGGATAAAAACTCTAAATTCTAAATTAACCTTTGGGAAAAAAAAATTAAAGCTTAAAAGAGCAAAAGCACGGCGAATTGGGAAAAGACAGAGAACAAACGCAACAAAGATGAGACACCCCCGCGGTTCGTCTTTCGAGGAAAGCTTAGAGGAATCTCAACCTGAAACGACGCCGCATTCATCGCTACCTTGTTTATTTTCTGCCCCAAGCTCTCCTGCTCTGCCATTCCCCACTAGCAAGCAAGCGGTGCATGATTTTGCAGCGACAGATCGACTTCTTCATGGCGTCTCTCACGGGATTCGCTGCCGCCGTCATCATCGGACTCATGCTCGCCGGAGAATCGATGGGGAAGGAGCTCCGGCCATCGGAACATGGCCTTGAGTTCCAGAATTCGCCATCGGCGTGGTTGAATTATTCATCGGAGATGAGATCGTTCTTCAATTCCTCACAGGTTTCCAATTCGTCGGGCATCATGACGATGCCGAAGGGGACGAATTCCAGTGATTCATTGCCGCCGTCTTGGTGGAGCAGCACCGACGGCGGTGAGAGGAGTCATGTGAGACAGGCTTTGGTGGTGGCCAGCTTGGTGTGTGGAGTGACAGGTGTCATTCTCTTAGTGGCTACGGGGTTGCTTTTTCTCTCCAAGCACCGAAAGCACAAGGCAGCCGAATCCGCAAGCGGTGACAAAGATAACGACAAGTTACAGTTAGCGGTTAGGAACGAGACTCCTTGAATTTGCTTGCTCTTCTAATTTCCCTTCACTTTTGACCGCAGTAATTCCACCACATTTTGTAAAGAGTAATAGTGTAAAACTAGTTACGCGTAGCTATTGAATACTATCGTTATTGAAAGATTCTTCAGTGTTTCATTAAATTAATTCACCTTTTTTTGCCAATGGATTCAGTCTACGACACTTGTTTGCTCAGTGAGGTTTGAGGTCTCTTGCCATATTTTATTATTATAGTAATTTATTGTTAATTTAATTTTTTAGAATAATTTGAATCCTTGCGAGGAACTATCAGTTATTATTGAAAAAAGTTATATTATTGGTCTCATTCTATTGGAAAATCCTAACTGAAACTTAGCTGATATCCTCGTCGGTAAAGTGTACAATATAAAACTGTCCAGTGAGTAGTTTTTTGATAATTATGTAACAAACATATGTTTTCACTGAAGAGCCGAAAAAATTATACTACCTCCAGTCCTAATTATCAGAATTAGTTAACTAATTTGAGGAGATTAAGAAAGTAAGTTGAGTTAGTTATTTGCCCTAAATAAATATTATCTTTTCTAAAATATCCTTACTAATCAAATGTATTGGTTAGAACTATCATTATTAGAAGGACTACTTTGAAAAAAAAAACATATAAATATGAGAAATAAAATAGATTGAGATCTGATACTTAGAATCAAAATAAAAGTCAAATAAAGTTTTATGTTAAGAAGCAGAGGTAGTACGTTTTTGGTATTGTGATATATTAATTTAATTAGACAATTCACTAGTGAAGATATAAAAACTGCCTTCATCAATTATATATGTGTATATATGTATGTATCAACCAACTTTCACAGAAAGAAACCAAACCATAATGCTATTTATGCATTCAACATCTTATTCCGTATACAAGTTATTCATAAACTTCAGTTAAAAAAGAATGCAGTTATCAAATAACTACAATGGTCAATGGACATAAAAAATTTAGGAAAGACTGGGTAGCCACAATGTAAAACAATTCAACGGTATGTACAGAATAAAGTGTAATACTGAGAAAGTATTACAAGGTATCGTTTTACATTTATCAATTCATCCACAAGCAGTAAGTCATAATGAGGGGAAAAAATACACCCAGGCTTAGTTAAAAATAATTCAACAATAGCAACTAACATTTATGTACCTATTGATCAAGAGGCATCCATTCAAGTTCTAAATCTACTTCTCCCGATTCAACATTTTGGAGCTTGAGAGTCATTTTCTGTAAAATCGTTCCATCAACTATATTGACTAAGCTATCCTCTATGAGAGCATTGTCATCAGATTTAAGCCATTTTCCAATCTGCATATCGCCAAACATTTCCGCTTTTCCAAATGCCATTGCTGACGTTATCATCGGTTGGAGATCAATTTCTGCCTCGCCCATTATATCATCCGCCGAGAATGTATCATGATCATATACTTGCTGTAACGCAGTCCATTCATAAGAAAAATCCACAAATCAGCAGTCATTTAAAGCAGAATAAGTATTCGTATTATTCACCACGTAAAGATTCAGACTTACCAATTTCAATGATCCATATTCCTGGGGAACAGAAAGCATTAGTTCCTCATCCCAAACCGGATTCAAGTTACTGTTCACTACAGCTGTCTGAACTGTCTGAAGGCAAATATCACCGAAGTCATTTTCAGAAAGATAATTATCACCGTCTATAATGAAATCTTTCAGCTATAAATAAAAGATAAAGAGCAATAGGTTTGTTTAAAGCTGTAGCTGCAAGAACAAATGCTGAAAAGAACCTGTTGGCCAAGTTTTAAGACGACATATGGATCACTAGACATCATATCCCGAATAGCTAAATTTGTGCCTTTAACCACTTTGACCTTCAGCAACCCAATAAATTCAACCATTCCTTCCTGTAATCACTTTAAACATCAGAAAAAATTTAAGGAAATCGTTCATGATGCTATTGCATAGACATTGTCACCTAAGAGTAAAGTTGGGTGCATGATCCTAAGTAAATAAACTTTTCTTCTAGGGGAAAGCAATTTATCTCATCTACTTCAAAAATATATATACTTTCACAATGTGTGGTGAACGAACAAATTTGATGTTTCAAGTACTTATGCAATCTAGTTTCTATCAAATCCTACAAGTAGAGAACAAAAGGAACCAATTTATAAACAAGAATCACCGTTTTCTGTGGACCACTAGTGCTACGGAAACTATCCATAAATTTGTTGGAAGAATTTGACACTTGAGAGCTTTTTCCAGATGAAATGCGCAAACCAGGTTTCAAAAAGTCTTGAAGCTCATACTTGGATCTGCAGTCAAAATTGACAAATTATGTGAGCCGTGATCTGATAAAGTGCCATTATGCATGCTCCCAAGTCCTCACAATACGCACCCAGGAACAATAGACTGTGATTGAAATATATAAACGGGCAAGATGAAAGGAGGAAGGAGCAAAATTTCATAACAATTATGCTGAGAATGGCAGTGATGGCACCAGACCCTTGGTTTGCGGAGGCAAGGAAAAAAAAGGTCCTTGAGCATGGGCCTAAAATATCAAATGCAATAGTTTGGAGGTAAGTATTGGCGAACAATACATACCATAAGAGTCAAAGTTTGGGTATTTGAAATTATTACAAAGTCACATGAAATTGATAACAGTATCACACATATAATACAAGTTGAGTGATTAAAAAGGAGAAAGACATCAGGAGTCATTGAGAGCAACGTACCAACCAATTTCAGAGGGAAGTTTTACCAAACTACTATAAGACATAAGACTGGTAACGACGCTATATGTTGGTGAATATTGGGTATTGAAGACACAAAAAGGGTAAAAAATAGAGGTATAATTTGCAAAAAGAAACAACTGATGTTCTGATCAAGGGATGCATGGACCAATTCATTTCTTTCCCTTTTTTTTTTGGGGGGGGGGGGTTGTTGGAGCAGCACGACTAACCGGATGAAATTTGCACGCTGCTCATGACCGGCATCTGGTGTGGGCTTACTATATCCTTCCGGAATATGAGCCTCATAAATTTTATTAGCAGAACCATTTCCTCCAACTTCAATCATTGCATCTATTTCATCATCAGACCATTCATCCAATGTCACAGACAAAACCTGAGAATAAAACATGATGTTGTCCGGAGGGTTTAATGCTTATGTAGAAGGAATAAATAAATCCAGCATTTATCTGTGTCAGAACTAGGCAAGCATATCTGATCGAAAACAAATAATGTGTCAACATGCGATCCAATATCTTGCTAGCAAAAAAGGAAGAAATAAAGAAAACATGCATATTGAGAAACTGGAAGAGAAGAAAGGGTCAAATCAAAATATGTAATTGATTATTGAAAGATTGACTTACGGTGTACTTAATGCTTGACTATTCAAAGTCCGAAAAGTTCACATTTTAATCATATAAAACAGTACGCATATCTCATAGTCTTCAAAATTTGTTCAGTACAAGAAAAATTTAAATAAACACTGTGGCAGAAAAACAGTAACTAGAAGCATGTTGTCTGTTAAGAGACATGCAGAACTTAGAAAAGTTGGGTAGGTTAAGAACAGAGTTTTCCTAATGAGGTACTAGGAATTCAAGCAAGTATGGAGGCCTAAGGATATATAATGGTGGTTTTTTTTTTTTTTTTGTGAATATAGTGCTACCATAAATTGATGTTGAGGGGCCAGAATAATACACATGGTCATTGCGACTTGCAGCAGCATTTTACCCTATTTCGTTCCCCTGTTTTCCCAAACCACTGCTTTCTTTATTGTGCCAATACGGTATCAAAGCTTAAGTGGCACCCCTTAAGTGGCACCCACCCTCAATTCAAACATCAGCTTCCACAAAAGGACGAAAGGAATATATTGGCTTGAGTTTTCCTTGTGTTTGAACATTCACGTTGTTTTGCCATTCATTCGTGGGATTTAAATATGTGGGGGTATTGTATTTTGCTATATAGTGGTCACTGAAGTTGCGTTCAATGTTTTAGACTTGGTTGGTTGGTTTATTTGCATTTGGAGTTGCACTTAGAAGTACAACTAGTTGTTGAGATTCTCATGGTTGCACCCTAGTAGCAGACATTAGTTAGAAAAGGTTGAAGGGACTAATCATGGGAAGTAGATAAGAGACTTCAGGTAGCTATGTCATTGGGTTAGATATTTTGGCCAATGAGAACTGTTCATGGGAAGTTGTTAGAAGAATGAGAGTTATTAGTTTGCTTAGGACGTTGGCAAAGAAAGTGATAGTTGCTTAAGATCTTAATAGTTGGCATAGTTCACATAGATTGGTTATATTTATTTGCTTTGTTATTCATTGCAAGTTGAAAGTGTTGGAAGCTTCAGCTTGAAAGGGAAGGTGACGAAGCATTAAGAATTGCAGGTTAAGAAAATAGTTCCTCACACCGCACCTAAGTAAGGAGCATGCGTGTTTTTTTCCTTCCTTTGTGGTTATATAAACAGAGGCTAAATACACTGTTGTTGAATCTTCTATTAAAAAAGAAGTTTGTTTCGCCCCTCTTTTCTCCTTAATTTTTGCATTCCTTATTTTCTCAAAATTACCAATAAGTGATAAAGAACCTGGACATACAGCCATATAAATAGACACAGGCAACGAGAAGGAGAGATGCCATGCCTGTGATGATTTCAGTTAATACATTGTTTCTCATTGCCAACTGTCTTTTTCATCTAAGAAGTAACTGCAACTGTTTGTGCATCAAATGATCTTCTAAATTTCACACAGATAAACACAACTAGTAGTGTAGAATCATCAATCATTCTATCATAGATTTAAAAGAAATCCTTGTTCAAATATCTCATTCGTGCATTCCTTTAACCAATCCCGGTTGAGAGCATTTCTGATTGTTACGAGATATTGGAAAATGCAACATGGGATCTAAGAGTAAAGCATGTCCAGATGTCCCACAAACATCATAATATAAGTTACATGCACACACAAAGCTTTGACACAATGATATCAGGTTAGTCTCTAGGGCTGAATGAGAACCAGAGATAATGTCTAAATATGCCCACCCTTAAAAAGTTGTACCCGAGCTACTGAGAATCACCTTGACATCAACCAGACAATCTAGGAACTGTTACCTTTGATATATGAGTACCAAGGCTTCTGTGTACGCCACAACATTTTAAGCAAATAAAAACTCCAATATTAGCTGACCTGAAGATGGAGTCAGAATATACTCATCAGAGCTTAGTTAATAAGATGTATCAACAAACAGTATAATTGACTTTGAGCATAATTTGAGTAAGGTAATGTCTATGAACGAAACCCATAAAATTTATGAGTGCCAAGGGGGCAATACTTACGCCCACTTGGGATCTGGAGCATTACAATCAGCACAAAAACGATTGTCTTTTTGAAGCAATAGGTCTTTCAGTCTTCTTTTACCTGAAAAAAGCCTACCAGTCACTCAACCTCACAAGAAAATCTAGGAGAACAGCTTTTAGGGACACAATATTCCTATACTATTGATGTTATTAAGAATCCTAAGCTAAGTTGCTATTTCATGTTCCTTAACAACCAAAGTATTTTCCAGATAACCATATAGACAAAAGATGAAATTCTTTAAAACTTTGCAATCACCTAAAGGACAAAACAAGCTCAGAAATCTACAAGTGAAGGCCAGACAAAAAAGGCAGCTTCTTCCAGCCTCAAGCCTACCCCTCAAGGACAGGGTGAAAAAAACTTTTTAAACACACAAACTTGATTCCAAGTTTATACCACAAGATGTTATAACATCTTCATCCCCCAAAACAAATTGGAATACAGATCAATAATCCCACTTAGTGGAATAGCCGAGAAGTTTCTTAGAGAAAAGCATAATATTTTCTTGCTTCAAAACACCATAATAGTTGATTTTATAGAGTAAGTATCAAAAGCACACCCGAGGCAGCCCTCCCAACTTCCAGACGATTACTCATTGGTGTGCTTGAAGCTCACGAGTCACAACCACCCAAAGTGCAGCGTCTGTAATGCTCGGACAAAAACCAGAGAGAAAACAGGACAAACATCAGAAAAATCTTGTGCTGCGGACTAAACAAATGACAACCCCCCAGTACCCATGAAATCCTGAAATAATAAGACTTATCCACTACAAGAATCATCAAGAATGAAAAGAAACATTTTGAGGGGCCAAAAGAAAAAAGATGGAAGATATAGCTTACAAATTATCTGTACCGCCTAGTTAGGTGAGAAAAAAAGAGAGGTAGGGGATGAAATGGAGTCTGTGCTTACCAGTAGGAATTTTAGAAGACAGCAAGTTAGTTTTTGAGACCATCACAGAAACTCAAGTGGATAAGAGGTTTTATTTCAAATAGACAAAATAAGATGGCAAAGACGGAAGCCATATTAACTGTAATGCAGGAAACACCAGCTTTTGACTTTCTGCATTTTCATTTTCCAAACGGTAAAATCCCGAGATAATTAAAATGCGAACGTTGCCCAACTCGTACAATTTTTCCTTCTATAACCAAACATCATATTGGCGAATTTTTTGAGCTATGAAAGATTGAAAAACATTCGATTAGCAGTTAAAAACAAATGTATTTTGTCAAACCATCGAGTCATCAAATTCGTCAAGGAGAAAAACAACCATAGTTTGCGCTTGCGAAGAATGAATCTCACAAAACAAATCAACGACATTGAAAAAAAGAAATTGCGACTGCGAGCACTCCTGAGATTAGAATGACGAGGAAACGAGCAAATGAATTACCAGGGAATCAAGGACGGGCTCGAAATCTCCAGAGTTGGACAGGGGAGAGATGCGAGGGAGCGATCCCGGTAGCCTTCTGATGCGTGACAGGAGTCGATGAAAACTAGGACGTTATTAATTTATTATTTGTTAATTTTTTTTATTCTGTAATTAAATTTGGCCATATAAATATACCATAGTACAGTTTGTATAACTGGACCTTATTTTTAGCGCCATACTTTGCATAACTGTAGTTATCTGTTTATACAGTTAAATGGTGTGGGGTGATTCATTTAAACTAAGATTTTGCGCCCTGTTGGCTGTTCCTGTTTGTGCGGGAGATGTAGTACAATATTAATGTCAATGACACTTTTAAATGATTTGTTTTTGGCTTGATAACACTAAGTGTCTGTTTGGCATCACTTATTTAGAGCTTATAAATAGCTTATAAGCTCTATAAGCTCGATTGACACAATTAGGTCTGTTTGGATCAGCTTTTTTGCAATCGGACTTTTATCTGAAAAGTTTCAATAAGCTATAAGCTAAAATTAACAACTTATGACTTATAACTTATGGCTTATGGCTTTTGAAATATGGAGAGAGAGAAAAAGTTAAGAAATTTATTACCTCTTTTGGTTCTTATTATAAGCCTCAAATAACTAATTTGTAGATAATAAAAAATCAGTTAAAATTAGTTGAAAGTAATGAATAAGTTAGAAATATATTTTTATTTTTAAATATGCTCCTAAAAATATACTTTTATTTTTTCATGTTTCACTTTATATTTAAAATATTTTTTATGACTTCTTCATATTAAATTATTTTAATTTCATTGTATTATGTGAAATTATTTTTTTAATCATGTTTCATTATTTATTAAAACTCATATCTATTTTGGTCATTTTACAACCAAACTTACTTTTACTCAATCATAATCCAAACAACCTTTTACCAATCTCACTTTTGTAATCTAGCTTTTCTGAACTCTAATCCAAACACAATTCAGCTTATCCAATTTAGCTTTTATCCAATTTCACTTCTCTATAAGCTACTTTTTCAATAAGCTACTTTTCCAATCGCTGATCCAAACGGACCCTAAATCGTTGGCAAAAAAAATAAAAAGATAACACTGTAAATCTAGTAAAAGATAACACTCATTAATTTCTATAAATTAATTATATGATTTTAATATTCAGGATTAGATTAGAGTGTAATTACTGTAAATAGAGTGTCTTAAAAGATGTGGTTGTGATGTTAGGTAATGGAGATTCTTGAGCAAGTTGGGAATATGCATATCAAAAGCAAACATGAGGCATTGATTGTCTAAATTAACAGGTTTATTTCTTTATTTCATCAAGTTGTTGATGTGTATGATTAAAATTAATCTCAATTTTTGGTTTTCGTTTTCATGCTTCTCGGAATAAACACAATAAATATATATTTTTTAATTATACAGTAAAATTTATATTGAAAAAATATGCAAAAACATGAAAACAAAAGTGTGGCAGAAAAAAAAACAAAAAAAACCAAAGGCAGGCATGGATCAATGAAACAAGATTCTGCTTATATATAAATTTCAAACAATTCGAGTCTCAAGCTCAATAGCAGACTACCAAAACTCGATGACTGCACTTTTCACCGCTTTGAACGAAGGGGTTTGCCGGTGTTGATCCTAGCAATTTCCCAGTCACTTTGATAAACTGTTTTCTCTCAACCGTTCTGCCCCACATTGATTGTTTGGAAGAATCATGTCTCAGTCGTGAAGACACATCAACATCAGAGAATAATCCATCGATATTTGAATCAAAACGAGCCGATCTTAAATGTTTTGAGCATTACAATATATGAAAATAAGGAGAACTTAAATTCGTGTGTGTGTGTGTATAGTATACAATGCAGGATATTTTGAAGTAATGAAGTGCTATTTTAAACTCATTCCGTTTTTCCCATTCATGTGAGTATATATTCGTTTTTTGGCCTTGGCTATAATGAAATCACTGTTAGAAAGCTATCTGCCATTGTTTATATGTGCTTGATGTCATTAAAATCACAAGAAAAACCACTCGAAATTGCCAAAAACGCCACATAAAGATTTAGGTAGCGGCGGCTTTGGCTACGTTTGGATTGCCGTTTCAAACGCTGAAAGAGCCTAGAAAATTGTGAAACCAATGTTTGCAATTGAAATGAAGAAAAATGGTTGTTTGGTTGGAATATCTTATCCAACCGACTTCTCAGGCAAACGGCGAACGTTGGCAACGCTGAGGAGAGCTACTTCTAGAGCATTTGAAACTGAAGTCTACCGTTATGGGGCATTTATTAGATCATAAAAATATCACCTACCAGTTTTAACCCTCCCTACATTTTCCCTCCCCCCGAATCCATTCGCTTCAGTCACTCCCTCTGTAGAGCTCCTGCCCAATTTGTGTATTATCTTTTTTTTTCTTTTTTTTTTTGTGTGAAAATTTTACTTACATTTAGTACTCCCTCCGTTCCTTATTATAAGAGACGAATAACCGAATTACGTTAATCAAAAAAGCAGTTAAAATTAGTTAAGAACAATCAATGTGCAAAAAATATAATTTTTTTCCAAAAATGCCCTCATTAATAAGGAAAGAGAGCATGAGAGAGAATAATTAAATTATTGAAAGAAAGAGAAGTGAGAGGGAGAGAGTGTGTGAGTTGGAGACAATAAATATGGGTAAAATAGGAAATCAACACAAAAAAGTAGAGACAACTTTCAAGTGTCTCTATATATAGGAACATGCCATAAGCATCAAATGTCTCTATAATAAGGAACGGAGGGAGTATTTATCTATTCACAGGTAACACACATCTATTATGTCCATTATGTATATTAATTAATTATTTGCAATGTATTTTTTAATTTTTCTCCGGCACAAATATTTTTATTTCATAATTTCACAATTAAACTATTTATAGTTTATCATAATAATTTTATATGTTTTTTTAACCTATTATCACATTAAAAACATAAAATTTCAAAAACTACTATTTAATAAATTTCATGTCCTTTTTAGTCATTTTACAACTAAATTAACTTTTTTATTCATCATCCAAACAACTTTCAACTTTTTTAACTGACTTTTCAAAAGCATCTATCCAAACATACTCTAACTGACTTTTACTCTAACTTCAGTTACAAAAGTCAGTTGAGCTAGAAGTCAGTTTTGTCCAATACCAATCCAAACATACCCTTTGTGTCTGGCTACGGTTCGGTCTCATGGCGAGTGTTTGTAAGTAAAACATGTTAAAGCAGGAATGCTTTTATTTCTGTTTGCTATGATAACAGAGAGCTGTATGGTGCATATGAGTCATGTTGTGATGGTACTATGAGTATTGTCTGTGCCCAGTGCATTCAGTTCATGAGGGAGGTAGTTTCCTGCCCAGGTGATAATCTTCATATGTCATTTACTGAGCTTCAACAACAGGAAATGATTCATTTTTTTAATCTGAGGGGAAGATTCAATGCTTGATCTCAATTTTAGCTTTGATCTTTTGGTACAGGTCCGGTTTGGGATTGTAAGCCACTCGAAGAAAGCAAATTTCGGGATGCATTGTCAGAGAATTACTTTCCAGCCAAAAGAAGTCCCCCTTGGGGCTATAGGAAAAACAGGTCTGGCCTTTTATATATTGGGCTCGTTTAGAATAACTTATAAGTAGCTTTTTGAATATGAGATAAATATATGAGAAAAATTTTATCTCGACTTATATAAAACGTGTTTATAAGTGTTTTCAATCGGTATTCCAAGCGTGTCCATTACCAGCATTAAGTGCATATCTTCTTCGGATTCTTGGCCTAATAATGTCTTGGACTCCGGGGGAGCAACTAATGTAATGGGCTCAGGAAGTTAATAGTGTGTTGGTCCGGTCCAATAAATTGGCTTTGTCTATAATCCATCTTCTGACTTCTATTCTCTGGAACCTGCAAAAGATAAGAAAGAAAAAGAAATATATCTTCTAAACAAATTTCATAATTCTGAATGAATACAAATTTGATTTAATCTCAACAAATTCCCTTTCGGTCGGTTTTATTGGGTTTGGGAAAGGAGACACTCTTCACCATTTAGAACTAACATAACATTGTATTTATTTATTTTGCCGCAAAAAGCATCAAATTGAATTCTTTTTGACGTGATTTATAAATAGCATGATTTTCTACAGATTTTTATATTTCATATTGATTATTAAAAACATATATTTCCCCAAAAAATTAATGGTATGGCTATTTTATTTTTAATCACTTGTCATGTTTCGTTCCTTTTCATTGTGCATGGAATGGAAGAATCAATGTGAAGACTTTAGCTCTCCGGTCTCTTTCTTAAAATTAAATGGAACATTGGGAGTGTCTAATTTTAAGACGCATGAAAAAAAAAAAAGGCTATAAAATGAGACAGCTGTGTGGTTTCTTAGGACTTAGGAGCGATTTGTTGGCCGAGGATTTTATGTGCAGATTACAAAGGCAAAAAGAAGAGGACAGCACTGGGTGGGGAATGATTGGATGGGCTGTATAAAAAAAGTTGTAACCTTTCCATATATTGGTTTCTTCGTTGTGGAGATGTTTTGTAATATAAAAAAAATACTTTTAAAAAGCTTTTTCTTTGGTAAAATGAGTAGACTCGTCTTTATCTTTATTTCGTATATTGTAAAAGTATTTTTAAAACTATAATTTGGTTTCCA